CCTCCCGCCCGCCCGCCGCCCGCGCGCACTCACCGGGCGGCCGGGGCGCGGGGCCGCGGCCGCGGGGGGAGACGCCGAGGGCTCCGGCCCCGCTGTCACAGCGCCATCCCCGCCGCCTCTCCGGCTTCCCGTGCGAGCGGCCCCCTCGGGAGGGAGCGGGGAGGACACGTGGTGGGAGGAGGAGGGTCCGGCCGCGAGCTGAGGGTGTTGGGAGCGAGGGGAGGAGCGCGGCTGATGTCAGCGGCCGCGGCGGCGCTGGGGGACGGCGCCCGCGGCCGCTCCGGACCCTCCTCCCCGCGCAGCTTCCGGCCGCTCGGCGCGTCGCGGAGCTCCGGGTCGAGCGCCCGACCCTCGTTGCGTCTCCCGCGGAGCGGCCTGCGCCGCCGCGCCCGCCGCCCTCTCGGTTCCCCCCCGCCGCGCCGACCCCGGGAGCCGTCGGCTTCCGCGCGCCGTGTGCGCCCTCGGCGGCAGGAGGCCGCGGGGCCCGGGCGTCTGCTCTCGCCGGGAGTGAGCCGGAGCGCGGCGCCCGCGGGGTCCTCCCTGGCTGCGGGAGCGCCCGAGGCGCCGGCGCCGAGCTTCACGGGGGGCCTCGGGAAGGGCGGAACCGCGAGGGGTGGGGCGGCCAAGGAGGGGTCCGGGGTCTTCGGGAAAGCCCGGCGGGCCGCGGGCCGGCGTGGGTGCGGAGCTCCGGGGGCGCCGGGAAGGGACTTCCTGAGGCGCCGCCGCCGGCCGCCCGCGTGGGGCGGTGCAGGAGGCCGCCGGGGGACGCGGTGCGGCGGGGCGCCGGCCGACCGCGCTGTGGACGGGGAGCGCGCAAGCCCCGGAGCCCGTCGCGTTCCGGAAAAAGACTCGGGGTCTGGGTTTTTGTTGGGAAGTCGTGAAAGAAAACAAATGATTCCGGCACCTGTGGTAAACGGGAAGGAGGGCTTTATTCGGAAACACGAAGTCGGCGTGGAGACGACCACGCCGGGGAGGGCGGAGACGGGCTGAGCAAGCGGAGCCCGCAGGCGGGGTGCGGAGTCGGGCTGGAAGCTCGCGGGAGCGGCGGTGGGGAGGAGGCTTCTGGCCCACGGGCCGGGCGGTCGGACGCCCCGGCTGGGGCTCTGAGTCGACGGACTCCGCGCGACTCTCCGGCTGTGCAGGGAGGGGGACGCGTGCGGCCCGAGACGGAGGCCTGGTGGAGGAGACGGTTCAGGTGGGACCAAAATTTGGTCAAGGAGGGAGTTTTCTCGAACTTCGCAGACTGTGCCTGTGATCTAAGCAGCTGCTGGGAAAAATCTCTCTCCCCCGATTTTTGCGGCCATTTCTATTGACTTAGACGTGAAGGTCCCTTCTCTGTGCCGGGGACTTCCAGGCTAGGGTGGAGCTGTGCGGGTCTCACTGCGTAGCATATACTATGAAAAACGCGTCTTCGAGGTGGAATTGTGGCGGACACCCAAGACCAAGGCAGGTCTAACGGATGGACAATGAACATGACTCAAATGTCAGGAGAGAAGAGGATGTTAGCACTTCTTGTTTGTTTTAATGAACAGTTATTTTTATTTGTGAATTTTTATTACTTTTTACTTAAATTCAATTTACTTAACATATAGGGTGTTAGTTTCAAGGGTAGAATTTAGTGGTTCATCAGTTGTATATAATACCCAGTGCTCATTACTTCAGGTGTCCTCCTTAATGCCCATCACCCAGTTACCCTGCTCCCGCCCCACCCCTCCAGCAAAACTCAGCTCGCTTCCTAGAGTTAAGAGTCCCTTATGGTTTGCCTCCCTCTCATGACAGTGCTTTCTGTGTGTAAAGTTAGCATTTTTAGAGCAGGAGTGATGTCTTAGCTCAAGTTGATTGACATTTCCATCTTCACCTTACTGAGGAATGACTACTTTAAATGGAAAAGTGGAGAATGTCAGGAAGGAGAAGGATACCAGGGCATCGTTGGCAATAAGCAACACTTGCTTACAAAAAAAAGTATTACAATGGGTTATGAGATAACTGAAGAGGAATATTATGTTAGGGTTTTAGAGGCTGAGAGCCCTGAAGTTCATATGCAGCTTTGATTGGGTTTTTCCTGGGACGAGGTGGACCCAATGGGTCACCATTATT